GGGCCGACGAAGTCTTAGAGGCACTAACATCTGAGCTCCCGGCGGCACACGAACCGTTTCAACGACGGACGCTGGTATAGTTACGAACGCCGTCCGAATCACAGAAGGAGAAGGCAGGAACGCCATGCGCCGTCCCGACGGGAGCTCAATGCATCCCTGGTCTATTAAAATACGGATCGGCATTTTACCCAAGAAGTCCGTCCCCAGCAGGCACGGAACCGCCAGCGAGGAGGAAACAAAAATCGGGCCTGATAATTTGATATCCCCGATACAAATTTGCGCTCGAATCTGTCCAATGATGCCAAGGGAGCCGCATAGAATGGGACGTTAACTGGCAGTAAGGGACGGCTTTGGACAGGTAAAATGTTGTAAATCAGTTCGGAAATAATGGTCGCCGATGCCCCCGTGTCGACCAGGATGCGTACCTCAACCCCGTCAATATGTCCCACGACGGCCGACGACCCCGACGATGCGGCCACAACGCGATGGGCCAACGCGGACCACTGCCCGGGCTCGATTCGAGTCCCCACAGTGGTGCGCGCCGACCTGTCGCGATGCAACGTCGTCCCCCCATTCGTTGCGATGCGAGAGTGTGCGACAGGTGTGTGTTTTGGCCAAACATGTGTGGTGTCGCGACTCGCCGGATCATGTTGATGGAGCTTGGGAGGAGGAGGAGGAGGCCCGGCGTCCTGGCGAGGCGTCGTCCCGCGCTGTCGGGGAGAGCGGCACCCCGAGGCGACATGGCCTCGGACGCCGCAGTTGAAGCAACGCGGGAGCGCCGGCGGCGATGACGGACGGTCGAAGCGGCTCGACCCATCCCGGCCCGACCGTGCTCCCGTCCCCTGCTGCCGACGATGGTTGACGGCGAAAACCTCCTCCGCCGGGAGGGTGGCTGCCGCCACCGCACGCCCGGCCGCTGCCCTGCTGGCCTTCCGCCGCTGTGACAGCAGGTTGGCGTGGAGGAGTCGCGCCGCTTGTAGGGAAGTCATCTCCGTATCCTCCTGTGCAACGACGGCGATGTCCAGGTCGTCTGCCAGCAGGAGGATTTTTTCAGTCACCATGGCGTCGACCCCGTCCTCGTCCATGCGAGGGAAGGCTGTCTTGGCCAACGCCAGGAGACTTGTTCTGTATGCCAGGGGCGACTCCTTCGCGCCCCGCTGGCGGTCGTAGAACTGCTGCCTGCATTCCGCGGAAGGTCCGTAGACCCCGGCCAGCAGCTGCAGCGCCATCGGTAGCGTAGAGCGCTTCTCCTTCGGCGCCGATGTGAGGGCGGCGAGCGCGTCGCCGTCGAGGAGCGCCGGCAGCGCGCAGAGAGCTTCAGCATCTGTCCATTTGGCCATTTCTTGGTGGGCGAGGAAGCGTCGCTGGAAGCCGCCCCAGTCGCCTTCTGCGCCCACAAATTCTTTAAGCGGAGGCAGTCTTTGGTGCAGCGCAGCGGTTGCCGTGGAGTCCCGCGGGCTGCTGTCTCCCCGACTCGGCTGTGTCTCGGCGCGAACGGCAGATGGTATCGCCTGTCGCAGCCGTGATGACGCGCCCTCCTCCGTCGTAGACGCGGCAGCCCCAGCGCGGCCGATGTCGGACCCGAGGTTCAGGCTGGCCACGCCCCTAGCGGCCGCCGCATCGATGGCGGGAAATTCAAAGTTTGAATCTTCGGAAATGGCGGGAAGGCGCTCCGGACGCCGGCTCCCCTCGCCCCGCGGTGGACCACCAGCCCCCAGCCGCGTGATGTTTTCCAGCGTGGCTGCAGCGGCGTAAAGTAGTTCAGCCAGCCTCTCGTGAGCCAGCCTCAGCTCGTCTGTCTGCGGCTCCTCTTCATGCCGGCGCTCTGGTAAGAACGCGTCCGGCCCCGGCTGCACGGTGTCTTGTTGAGCCATCTCGGGCTCGACAATTTCGGCGGCGTCCTCCATTTGCTGTACTTTGGCCCGAGCTGATTGGCGCGTGTCCATGTTCGTAGTTCTTCTGACGCCAGATGAAGTACTCTTGATGACGCTTGGACACCGTTGTAAGGCACACGTGTTTATTTACACAATGGTCGTACAGCACTAGAGGGGTGTATCGGCCCCCTCACCCGTATAACTGGGGATACACCTCTAGCTATCCTTCCTACCCCGAATCCTCCACTAACGGGCTAGGGGAGGCTGTCTGGCCCGACACTGGTCAGTCGGCCTACGGTACCCGGAGTCCCAGAGTACTAACTCTGGTTCACGGGACCACGCCACTGGCTCCAGCCTGCGCTGCCCTGATAAGGGCGGCGTCCCAGGGGGAGTCCAGGGCCTATCTGGTCGGTCTTCCGTCTTCCCCTAATTACTCTAAGACTCAACCCCGAGCTCTCTGGCTCATCCCTTTTTATACCCCCCTAGAGGATCACAACCCCCCTCACGCCGTCCGGTGCGGACGTCGTTGCGGGCACCACCCCGTGTACTGGCGGAGTCCCCGCCCACTGTGTTTGTTATCCGTTAGCTCCTATGCAAACAGCCATACACAAGGAAATTGGCAAAGATGACTCGTCTTATACATGCACACACTATTGGCTGGATGACAATGCTCCTGACTGTAATATGTGCTTGAGAAGAGATTAAAGTTTGACAACGGCAAACATAGCACGGCGCACATTAAGAAAACTATAAACTGCAGAAATGCACACAACCAACGGCAGATTTTTGAACGTTAACTTTTTTTAAAGTACATATAAACAGAGTGACAGTAAAATTGAGCAACGGCTGAGAGAGACACATTGAGCTTAATAATTATGAAGCGGGCCAAAGTTTCCTCACCACCGCTGCTAACAGAGGTGACAAGAAGAGCAATACCCTAATCAAAGCCAGCTACGACGTCGAGGTCAAAACACTAAAGAGCATTTTCACCTTGTCTAATCAAGGAACATCTCATCACAGCAACCACTCCAAAGCCACAGACCAAGGTGTGTGTCTGAACAGACTGGCAATCCCACCCTTGAATGGCACCAAATCACGGTTCTAACATAAGCTTTTCCACGATGAATACAAATGCAAAAAGGCTGAAAAGCGGCCCGTTAGAAGACAAACACCTAGTGCACTCTATTCCAACCTAATGTGAATGTACGACTCGTGTGTGGCACAGTCGGTGACCGCCTACTGCGAAGAGCACATTTGCAAGTGTGTAGATGTGTGCTGTCGATGTTACTAACCACTGCCATGAAAACACAGAAACATAAATACAACGAAATTCAGCTATTTGGGCCCTTGCCTCTTTTTGCCACAATTTGAAAGGGTTCACACGTACATTCTGTGACAAAAAACCCAAAACATTTGCAGGAACAATTTCAGAACAAATATGCAATTTAGTGCATGATACACAAGGTGCCCCATTGTAGGAACACTGAGTTTAGAAGGAATTTAGAACACCATGTCCTGCTAGACAGCTGAACATAGAACAACAAAGACAAAAATCCCCTGTATAGCCATAACAGACTGTCGGGGCAAGCACTATTAGCGAGCACCTATGAAGGCCAACACGGCACGTAAGGTGGCCAACATCACGGCGAGCCACCCTTTGTCTCTCCCCAGTGCTGATGTTTACACACAGCACCAGGTACTCATTTAAGGATGAGTCGACCTAGGGGAGGCCCAGCCACAGTTCAGATATTCGCCACTTATTTTTCCCGCAAGCAGGAATGGAATTCGGGTCAGAAGGTTTGTAGCACAGTGCGGGCTAACCATCACAGTCACACCTTCCACTTGCAAAAATACAAACACAAAACCTTGCCACTAACAGCAATCCCACAAGTCTCCAACATCTAGAGCACGTACAGCACATGCTAGACATGTTGATGGGCCGACCTCATCACATTGAGTACTGCCACCTTCCTCTGCCGCCCCAATTATCGAACCTCTAGATATGTCACTGCAAGGAGTGAAAAAATAATAAAGAGAAAAAAAGGCACTCACCTCAATCAGCCACGATGGGTTTCCTGAGCTTATGAGGGCCCAACACACTCAACGATCACTCACAGTGCGATAATGGCATCGTTGGTGGATGTCGCCGCACTCACGCATTAACCCCCCCCCCCCCCCCCCATATAGAGGCTGAGGGCCTCTGTAGCCGGGCTGCCTGCTTGTGATGTAAAGTTATCTCATATGCGATCTATTATTTAAGCGCCTTTCCATTCAGTGGGGCCCCACATTAACGAGAGCGCCATGCTGCGATGCAAACGCGCGCTTCTTTCTATTCTTTATTTCATAGCCGTGCCCTTTTCCCCGAATGTAAAAAGGCGTGGGAATGCTACGCTCGCATAACGCGTGCTCGGGCATTTCAGTGCCGTAATAAATAACAATACCAGGGGACATGCTGGCTATGTTATTAGGAGGAATATAGTTTTGGTGGCAGTTTTCAATGCAGTAGTGGACATTCTTTCTTCGAAAAAAAGATTGAAACAGATAACTACGTGAGAAATAATGGGACATGGGTGGCATATACTTATCAGCACCCTATACGGCAATGGTAAAACGATTCTTGACAAATATGGGAACGCATGCTCTTCCCTGGGTGAAGGATTTACGGGTATCATATATATTATGTAGGACTAAGAAGGGGACACGTGATCGGTCTTGGCACGATGACTTATTTTGTACAAGAGAATTTCTTGAACAGATTATTCACAAAATAATTCGTAGAAAAGGAAAAACACAAAAGTATATTTCCAGTACTATACACGATAAATGTTTACCGACAATACCGTATCTTTTACATGCTCATAAAATGTATTGTTGCGAATAATCAAAGTGCAATTATCGCTCGCAAATCCATCTTTGGAATAATAAGCGAGGCAATTAGGGGGGACTTTTGGCGAGCGCATATTTCACGCCAACTGCAAGATTTTTCCTATTAAAAAAGCGACAGCTATGATGAGGTTATTGAAGGAGGGAAAGGTTTTTTTTTAATAAGTCAGCACACAAAAGACAAAGGATCCGAGATAATGGAGAACGAAGGCTGGGTGATGGATAGCCGCGTGTTTAATGTACCTCTCAGCGACGAGCAGCAAACGATCGAGCTTTAACATGAGCTGGTAATCGAGGCGGTGTGAACGGGTCTCCACAATGCTGTCGTTCTCCTGGACCCGGTGGCCCAGAAACACTGGGTAACGACTGCTATCTGTCAACGAGAAAATTTCATAAAAACAACAAAAAGCCGATTTATTGTGGTCACAGACCTAGCACCGAGATTTTTAATTATCTTCCGGAGTCTCCGCCAGGCTGTAAATCGACGGCTCCAATTCCATTTCCTTGCAGTTTCGGTGGCAAGGAAGGGCATTTGATAAGAACAATAAATCTGCAAATGTAACAGATTGCCTGGAAAATTAAAAGACACGTTTTATTAACAGAGAAAGGTCACCGCTGCCTTAAATGCATCCATCAGGTGTACAAGGAGTTTGAATGACCTATTCCTTTAATCAGAATGTGTTGTGTGTCAAGAATTTATATTTAACTGTAAAGGTAGCGTCGTATTCATTTTAAAATACATCATTCTGCATTTTAGAATGGAGTTTTTTTCTTTCAAAAAGATTAACTTGTTTTAAATCTTTCTTTTAAAATAATGAAACATTTTAACAGTACCCTAAGTTGATCACTATGATTATTTACACATAGAACATTTAAAATTGTGAAATGTAATAAAAAATACTCTTTGTAAAACACAAATTAGTTCAGCAATGGTAGTACATTTCATGGAACAGCAATAATACTATACAAATACTATACACAGAATAGCATCTAATAAAACATAACACTATTGACTTTCACATTTATGACCATCAAACTGCCCATGTGACCAGTTCCCATGGTGACAATAATGGACTTTGACAACAGCGTTATGAATGAAAGGTACACACCGTTTACGGAAAACGTTTAACCACACAAGAAGGCACGGCGGGGGCTGGGCAGGACGGACACTTACATTTGGCGTCCAAGACGCTGATGGGCTTGGGGTCCTCAGGGAAGCAGCAGAGCGGAGTCGGGCGGAGCAGGGCCAGGAGGATGAGGGCCATCGGGGGCAGCACCGGCAGGCGGGCCCCTCCGAGGCCCATCGTTACGCGCGGGGAGGGGGGCCGCGCCCGGTCGCTCTCAGCACGGCGCCTCGCTCACCTGATTGGTCACAACGATGACACGACGTGTGAAGGGAAGGCGTCGACACCCCACCGCGTCCCCGGTTCCCGCTAACGCCGCGTGTACGAGCGTTTGGACCCTCGCCCTTGCCCTCTACAATTACGGTGAACTCTTGTCACACGTGGGATTACTGTCCATTTCCCACCGATTTCGTGAACCCCCCCCCCCCTCGCAGTTAAGGAATCGTCACATAGGTGTCGGACCACCCCCTCTTGCAGCGCACGCACTACATCGTTGATCAATTCACATCAATCACAAGTGTTTTAACCTTCTTTTTTATAAAATACTGTAACGCTAAAATTTGTCAACGTCTGTCTCGGCTCAAATGCTTTTTTATTTTTATGAAAAATAAAAAAATTTCTGTGAACCGCCACGTGGTAGTTTTCACTGGGACCAAACTGCACATGGACACCGTCCCCGATACCAGCAGTTGTGGGCATCTTGTGAAAGAAACAACAAGCCAAATGAAACCCATCATGAAGGTCATTTTACCAATGGCACCCAGGCAACTGAAAGAGGAATGGTTAATCTGCTTTTCTGCCTTACGTGCGACACAATTGAGGATGAAATTTGCAGCGAATTGCGGGTACGCGGCTACTTGAGCCAATTCTTTCCAATCTTACAGACTTGCTGGCTTTAGTAGATTGCACGGTTTTGAGCAGGATGATAAATAGCAACAGGCAATCACGGAAAAGATTGCTGCAATCACACAAAAAAACCCACCTCAACACTGGCACTGACAGAATACACGACGATTCCTAAGCCTTTAAATTCCAAGTTATTTCGATTGTGGTATGGGGGCCAACACTTCCAAACATTTACACTCAACTTGATTCGCCACAGGGCCCTTTTGGATGCTACACAGAACTGTTGAAAAATCAAACACTGACCAATTTTTTGGGGTGTTTTGCCAAGACAATTGAAACACTGCATCGAAGGAATGGTTTCCGGAGAGGGTACAGAAAAAAATACCACTACAACTTTGTGCTACAAAGAGCCAAATATCACATCAATCATGTGACACAAAGGATACACGAATCCTGTAATTTGCCCTCTTCCCGATATAACTTGTAAACTTGTGATGGTAGACGCTCCACACACACACACTATCAATCTCTGTAGAGTTATGCTGTGAGAAAAAAGCAATGCGAATGAAAACTATGGGATTTAAATGTACACTCTATGTAACCTGGCAAGAGACCCACATCACTTCTGATAAGAAACCAAAAAGTTATTAATCCAATCTCCAGAAAGCCAGAAGCCAGTAAACAGGTTCAAAACTTTCAACTACTGCAGCCAAAGCACTACTTAAAACATCCAAATGGTCTTAGCTGCATTTCTGCAGCGTTGCAGATCAATTGACATCAATCGTGAGTGTTTTAAAGTCATGAGCTATGAGAAGCCAGGTTCCTTGCAACGATAGTTCTGCCCAAAGGGAGGTAAAAAAAAAGGAACACGCACGCAAACACACAAATTGGGTGTGGTGCCAAGCACAATCAGCAGAATACAAAAATTATCTCGGACTGACCTCATCAACTTTCAAACTCACTATCCACCACAGCCCAATTCAAAGAACGAAGTAAAACAAGCACAAAGAGAACACCGCAGTTCCAAGGGCTGTATGTACCAAAATAACATGATTACATCTCAGTAAATGTATAGTTTTGGTATGAAACACACTAAGAAACCTACACTTACACAAACACCACTTATGCTGCAGTACTATCATCGCCAAATAAACACAGGTCGAATGAGAATTTATTGAAAGTTTTACAAATACGAATTATTTCTGAAAACATTTAGTGCACCTGAAGCATAAGCATTGATAACTTTTATGACTAGCATTGGCATAGGACATAGAAGATTGGAAAAAGATCAACAAGATCCACGTAACGAGCATGATTAACATAAGATATAAAACAAAAACGTAACAGTTGCGCAGAGAAGCATGGAGAGATGCACGTTTGGAATCACAGTGAGAGACAGAAAGATAAATACATGGATTAGAGAATGAACATTTGCATTAACAAAACCATCAAGAAAAGTTAAGCAGGGTTGGGCAATACACGTCGCTAGAAGGGATGATGGACGATGGCCAACAATAATAATGGAGTGGCAGCCAATGTGTGGAACGTGTCCGAGGGTACGTAAAATGATGAGAAGGAACAATGAGATCAGTGCATGTTTAGGTGCTGGTTGGATTGTTAAAGGTGGCGGTGGCTTGGGGAGGCCTTCTTCCAGCAGTGGATTGATCATGGCCTGATGATGAAGATGATTACGAATGAGCAATAGCCCTTTTCTTTAGAGGAGAGATGGCGTTGTGAAAGTGGGTCAGGGTGTACCTTCAGCATGCAGTTCTGAGAGTGCTTGCAAAAAAGATAACCTCAGAACTTTTCTTTAAAACTGTCACCGGCTGATAAAGGTACATTAGCACATTGAAAGATCCTTATACAGCGCACTCGATTAGTCTGACAAACCGTGCACAGCCTTTCTGATATTACCCTAAAATGTGAAGGAATGCTCAATAACCTAATAGGAAATTTGGTACAGTATGTCATATAAAATGGAGCAGCATTTCTTTTGTCAAAGCTACGCAGGTTATATATATATACGTTTTGAAGACAATTATGTTTTATTGCACACCGTATCTGTAATGTAAAAAAAGATCTAAAGGTACTGCGCCAGTACAATAATCTGAAAACCATCTACGAATCATACACAGGGCAAAAAAAACCGTGCCATTTAAAAAAAAAAAACACACATCCCTTATCCACAGGCATTTGATAATATGAAAACAACAAGACAATTATGACCAAAAAAAGTGGGATAAAACGTCCAATCAATAGAGCTGTATTGGCAAAAAAATAATACCTCGCTCCAGTAGCCTCACCCACACAAAGACAATATTTCCTTCCGCAGAGACCGATCCTAAAAGCTTTGAGCGACACGTGTGGTGGGGGCAATCGACAGCTGTATATCCGATCGCACAGATATTGCACGCGGCTAACATTAAAGCCCACCTGGCTCCACGAACGGCTTGTTTTTTTTTTTGCATCACCGCCAGCAAGCAAAGTGCCTAAAAAATGTGAGCTTGCCTCTACGGTCCTGGACAAAGTTGTAAGGTATTACTTTGGCGCGACTGTCATGCAACTATTCCCACGCCATGATTGGACCTCAAACAACCGATCGCGTCAATATATATTTGTATATTCTGAGCCTTTAAAGATAGTTTCACTTTAGGCTACTTGTACTTGTGAGCTCTGATAAGAACTTAGCCAAGTTTCACAGCTGTACTCTACCGCTGCTAAGGTTGTAACGTAGTCTAATTATTGATGACTACTGATCCAGAATACTCACGATCATTGCATTTATCCGAAACCTCGTCACCCACTCACAGCGCAGAGATGCGAGTGAGGCATTGTGGGTAGAGGGTAGGATAAGTCAGGAAGCAGCCCACTTTGTGCCCGTACCAAAAGCCTCTTTCTGCACATGTCCGTGATCCTGCGGTAATTGCAAAACGTAATTGCTCAACGTATACCGTAAAAAAGCTCCCGTGGATTGGCGGCATTGATGGTGAAACACTTGGTTTTATACCGCAGCTGTTGTAAAAGTCCTTACAACGTGATTTTGACTCTTGTGCATAGCCACACCACAAGCCGTCAACCCGCAATGCAACGACTGCCTTGGAGGCAACACCTGTCACTTATGGGGCCCCGCATCACACCCCACCGGAAGCCCTCAGTGTTGGAAGATTTCTGTTGTGGCTGAGGCAGTGTCAGGTTCGTGAGAAATAAAACTATAAACTCGTTTTTATTTTACCAGGTAAGGCCCACGGAGCTATAAGCTCTTTTTCAGAAGCGACCTGGCTACAAATGATAGCTCATCGAAGTGGATTATTTCGTGGAAACTTACAACAGCTAAATACTCTAAATGCATATTCCTAAATGTGGAGTGAAAAATCGGAGAGGGAGAAAAATCCACACAACCACAGGAAGAACATGCAAACTCCAAATATACAGGCGCCAGGGTCGGGATGGAACCCACAACCTCCTGTATAGCAGGCGAGGCAGATAACATCTCGCCACCGGGACGAGAACATGTCGAAGGTAAAAACATGCAGTGAGTGGAACACGTGTTAATTTACTATTTGTGTAATAATAGATTTTGGGTTAGGCCACGTAATGATCTGGCGAAATATTTGTTGTGTTATCGTTCACCACCCAACACGGCCAAAATAATGTAATTGTCACATGTACAAACATTGAACGCACCAATTACTATTGTTTTAGCTTCCCGGTATGTTGAGGAACAATCCTCACAACTAAACTTAGCAGATAATTTTCATTTGTACAGCTGTGGGGTCGGCAACCTACGGCTCTGCAGCCGCATGCGTCTCTTTGAGGACTGCTCCATGACGTTATTTATCGAGGACCGTCTCATAATCACGTGCAATGCAGCTCTTGAAATATTGGGTTTGTTTTACTGAATTCGAAAAAAAGAAATCACTTTTTGTTATTTTGGTTGCCAACCCCTAGTCTTGCTTGTACCGAATGGGTTTAAACGACCACAAAGGCCACCAGGCGTCACGACATTTACAGCTACACAGCAGCATGTAAATTTCCTTGAACTCTTGCTGTTTTATATTTATTTAACACCTCTGGGTTCACTTCTTAAGCACCTTGGACTGATATATCATTGCTACGCAGATGATACAGAAAAATCTCCATCTCTGCCTCCAATCCACTACAACTAACTCACAACTCATCACTTCAATAGAATTAATAAAGTCACTGCAGAATCAGAACGACCTACAACTCAAAACATCCAAAACTAATATTTTAATAATCAGAACTCCGAAACAGCTGCTTTTCTGAGTGACTTAAACTGGAAATTGATAATGTACCCATTTGTTCCGTGAAACCTTGCCGTTTTTTTCGACCATTCACACTCCTTCAATTAGGCATGTTTCTAAGACATCT